AAATGTTGCCAATAGAGTAAAGAAACTTTTTTACTAAAACTTTTTTTCCATACGACGTTTAGTTTGAGGTGTATTCTTTTTTAAAAACCGAAGAAAATTGAATCGCCGCGTCTCAACTCTCGGCATTGCCGGTTAGCGCGGTCACAGGACGCGGTGCAGCGGATAAAGCGATCAGTGTGTCAAAGAGAGTTAACACCACAGCCTTCTTCATATGTGCAACAAAGATAATGCGACGACGCCGACGGCAGAAGCGTTCCTTTAGAATTTCATTTTGTTTTTCACCCGCTTATGTTTGTTATTGTAAAAGACATGAAGTACCTACCTATCATAAGTCAAAATATCAATTTCAACGAGTGTATTTTATGTCAATCAAATAATTAGGAAACGGTACAGAGTGTCACAAAAGAAGCCGTACCTACATTTCCTGTTTCAAGCATGTATTGTCATTGTCATTGAGAAAGGCGATCGTTATTCCATAGCTCTTACGGCCAATTTCATAATCAACTTAAAGCAAACTTTCCATTTGAAGTTGAAAAATCCTAACCTAAAAGTCTATTTAGCTAAAGTACTAACTTTTAATTCTCTATTATGAAATTGGCCGTTAGATACTATGCTGACAAAATAGAACTGTTTTTATCATTAAATCGTGTTTATCACCCTAAATTCTAAATGTAGACGAGCTTATACCAGGAAAGCCTACAAGAAAAGATCTGAACCAGAAGAAGGTGCTTCAAAATGTACTAGTAAGCGAATTAAATCCTCTTATTCAAAGATTTGTATAATATGCAATAAAATTCGCGATAGTAGGGGTTTGAGAAGACTCAAGCAAATACTGACATTTGATAAGCAAAATGAAATATGGAACATTGCAAAAACAACCATCAACTTTTGCATTGAATTCAAGGATTTGGTAATAATTGTATTGACATGATTGCTCACGAATGTGCATATCAATCGTATCATAGTCTGTGTTTCTTGAAACTATTTCAAAAATCAAAATCAGAAGTAAATTTCCTACAAGAATCTGAAGTACTTTCGTTTGGAACTATTTTTATTAAAATTCAATCTTATATAGAAAATGCCCTATTTATAGAAAATAGGGTCTTCACAATATAAATCATCCTACATAGGGAAGCAAGGAAGCAAAGTTATGGAACGTTGAGTGAACTGCACAATATCCATCGTCAGAAGAGAATATCAATAACCTGCAAAGTCTTTTTAAGAGAATAATTATGGTTGTTCTCCGAGATGGAAAACTTTCAAGTTGTCTTTGCTCTACTAAAGTAATTATCATAAATAAAACGCTGTAAGGAATTCAAGTTCTTCAAATTCTGACGCTGACGCCACATTTTTCAATGAAGGCCATTCTCCTTATAAACTATAATCAAATGTTTAATATTTAAGGGCGGATTATTGCAAATTGTGTGCAGCAAGACACTTTGACAATTACTGAAGAATGTGCATCCTAATATCATACCAAAGTCATTATACAACCTTTTTCGTGAATACTTACTGAGAAACTAGTGAAAAAGAAGTAAATTTTGACAAAGATTGAAAAGTTCTGTTGGAAGAGACGCTTGAAGAAAAGGTTTTGGATATTTGTCAAGACTTTTTATTTGTATTAATTGGAAGGAAAACACCAAAACATGTGGAATTAGCCGTTTACTACAAAATTTTGAATTGAGCCTGATGCTTTGTTTTAAAAAAGAAATCTTGTTGTTATTATTTTTTTACTGACATTAATTTGATTCCCTAAAAACAGATTCCATATTTGGTAATAATTAATAAATAAATAAATGGAATTTTTATACCTTTTATGTGACGTTTTTTTTTTTTCCTTTTTTGTCAGTGTTTGTCTGAGAGAAAATGCATTGTGAAATAAATATTTTGATTGGGTAATGATAATATTGTTTTTTATACTTATAAAAAAAATTATTATCAATATTTTTCCTATTCATATTGTTTCCCAACCCAACCAAACCCATAAATCCCCCATTCCCCTATACTCCCTACAATATTATAACAATATCGTAATGCGTGTCTTTGTTGCACGTATGAAGAAAGCTGTGGTGTTAACTCTCTCTGACACACTGATTCGCTGCACCGCGTCCTGAGATCGCGCTCATCGGCAATGCCGAGAGTTGAGACGCGGCAATTCAATTTTCTTCGGTTTTTAAAAAATAATACAGCCCAAACTAAACGTCGTATGGAAAAAAAGTTTCTTTACTCCATTGCCAACATTTTTCTGGCTTACACTTGGTACCTATCTCTAAAGATAAAAAAGTTTTCTCGACTCACTATTTAACGCTGCAAAATGACGATATTTTGTGTCATCTGGCGAAAAAAAAATTACATAGCTTTTATGTGACGTTCTATGTTTTTTATTGTTATGAAATTATGTCAGGGAAGTACTGAAAAATATCATATCCAAAATTCATAACAATCGGACATCAATTAACAAAGTTATGCACTAGTTTCCAATAAAAATTATTTCAATGGAAATTTTCAGTCTTTTCAAAAATGTCATGTTTTGACACATTTCGCAATTCCGGATCAAAGGGCGAACAAGAAATTCGAATCCGGCAGGTCATTTTACATAGGATTTCATGTTTTTTAGGTGGATGTTCGCGACTTGTATAGAGTGGTCGAATTCAGCACCCCAGATTCCCGACTATACACGCCAAACTTCCTGAGCGGCTTCATAACACCAAGTCGGACAATATTTTTCATATCTCCACCCTGGGCGATGGGACATTGCCGCGCTAGCTCTTCGTGAAGTTGTCGTTCTGACGTCCCTAAGGAAGTTGATACATGTACGTGTAGTTTCAATGCCAATCGACTGTTTTTTATATTACATTAACGATATCACATTTGTCGGACAAAAACCATGTGGCTTTGGGGAAGGTCCGACGACCTCAACATGTTGCTGTGGTGTCCCTGAGGAAGTTGATACATGTATGTCCGACAAAAATAATTATGAATAACAATGTAATTTCAAAACATGTTTAGTAAATGTCGGACAAATAAAATGAGTATTAAAGTCAGTCGGACAACAAAAGTCCTTTCGATCAATTTCTGTCGAAATTCAGGATCTTCACTCCTGAGATTGCACAAAAAACACGACTGAATATCCAATCTTTCTCACACGCGTGGTTTTGAATGACCGTTCACTAAATAATTTCCGTAAATACTCGGAGAACTATCAAAAAAACAGATTAGGGAATATGACACAGGGCCCCACAGGTATTTGACAAAGTAGGTAAATAATAAACTGGCTAATATGCTCGTTGCGTTAAGGCAAACTAATTTTTAATTTCTTCATTGATTGTCTCAAATTTCTTGTGCGACAAATGTGATATCGTTAATGTAATGTGAAAAACAGTCGATACTTCCTTAGGGACGCCACACCGACATGTGGAGAGCGTCGGACCCCCCCGAAGCCACGTGATTTTTGTCCGACATATATGATATCGTTAATGTAATACAAAAAACAGTCGATTGGCATTAAAACTACACGTACATGTATCAAATTCCTTAGGGACGCCACAGCGACATGTTGGGGGTGTCGGACCTTCCCCAAAGCCACATGGTTTTTATCCGACAAATGTGATATCGTTAATGTAATGTAAAAAACAGTCGATTGGCATTGAAACTACACGTACATGTATCAACTTCCTTAGGGACGTCAGAACGACAACTTCACGAAGAGCTAGCGCAGCAATGTCCCATCGCCTAGGGTGGAGACATGAAAAATATTGTCCAACTTGGTGCTATGAAGCCGCTAAGGAAGTTGGGCGTGTACATGAGTTACAAAATTTTAAGGTCAATGTACTGGGGACTAATACAGATGTAGACATATTCCGGAGAAAAGAAACATGCAATGCAGAAGAGTAAGGGCTGAGCATAAAGGTAGGAGGTAGGGTTGGAGGAATGTAAAGAAAAGAAGATAAAAAACTTGAATTGGCCGTGCCCAAAAAATCATTTATAGATTGGTTGACCTTGAATATCCAGCTCAAAATAAAATAGGTACTAGAGAAGATGAAGGTTAATTATTGGTATGCATATTTTGGTATGATTCAAGATTTAACTGATTCCAAGGTACTCATCCGCGATTCTTCTCAACTCTTACCTCTTTGATAAAAGAAAATCGAGATAAATCCTCCAAGAAGAAAATATGAGGATAACAAGATGACCTTCAAAGATCTGAGGTTGGTGAATATATATTTTTTTTTAAATTATCAATATTCGCAAAGCCTTCAAGCGCCACACAAGAGTGTCTGTTGAGAAATTTACGCAGTCGCTACTATACACGTAGTACCGGTAAGCAAGGTAACAAGAATGCCGTTGACACGCCTAAGTTATTCGATGGTTGATGTATTGTAATTTTGAATTGCAAATATCCATGTATTTGTTAATAAAATCAAAATAAATGTTCTTATGTGAAGGAAGTACCTATCCCAGTAATAATTAATTTATGTAGTTTAAGGACGTCGTTTTTTGGTAGGTAGATCAGGCCAGTTGAACACTTAGCGCAAAAATTAAAATTGGGTTGCGCTAAGCTTAAATTTTAATCAAGGTAAATAGAACAAAAGAGGTACTTTCATTATTTGCATTTGAATTATTGGCAAATTAAAGGTCATGTTCATTTTGTATGTTGCTGTCCTCCACGTTGATGCAAAATTTTATTATTTAATTGTTTATTTATTCCAAATATATTAGTTTTTACGCAATTTGAAAAAAAAAATCAATCTCAAATATAAGTTAATACCTATTGCCAAAAAACAAAAACATTTTACGAAAATAACCTATTGATATGAAGACAATTACAATCCTCTCTCGCTCGTATATTATTTCTTCACTTTCAGCATCTTCTTCGCAGATATTTTACTGTAATCTTCGAGCTGTCAAGTTGAAAAAGCGAAAGTACCCTCTCTTTCTGTCGAACTCTTTCTTTGTCTGGTTTATTTGGTACTACCCAATGTCTTATTCCTGCTGTCGCACTCTTGCTGGGCTGCCAAAGAGCCGCGCGGTTCTTTCTTTCCTTGCCAACGAAACAGTACTTCTTATTCGGGTCTTGTCTGTCGTTTAGGCGGGTTTTGAGCGCGTGCTAGTACCGCCGTTTGACCGGGGAGAGAGGGTGTGATTTTTCCCTCAAATTATTTTTTCCGGTTTATTTTTCCTGTAGGAATTGCGTGAATATGGAGTGGAGAAGCCTACTTGTGTAAGTACCATGAATGTTTCAGATCTGAATTGAAATTCCTCTCCAGAAATTAACATAAAATAGATTGTTCATGTTTTGAAGTGATTTTAGAAATCCTGTATTCAAACAATCTTTTGGCTTTTCCTGAAGTTAATGTTAAATTGGGGTTCAACTTTTTATACCTACTCAGACTAGCTGAAAAAAATTGAAAGGAGGAATTTTGGGTACGGTTGTTCATTGACAATTTTGATCTGGTGTTTTTGAGCCATAATTTAAACCTCAAGATTATTGATGTGATGTGTGACGGTGTCACTATGTAGAAGAGAAGTCTTTTTGTAAATGCGATTGGTGTATCAACTTCTTAAATGAAAAATTGTTGTTGGTTATATCATATATTTTCACATACACATTTTTAAAGAAAAAAATTTTTTTTTGCTTATCCAGAAGTCAATTATCAATTTGATTCTGCTTTACAACTGGTATAATTGACTAACAAAATTTCTCTGGTCAAGAAACATTGGTTCTGGTTGAGCTGGAAGGCTTTTAAACCAATAAATGATAAGGTAACAACCTTAGAAAACCAAAAGCGGATCTGTTACCTACTTTTCAGATTTTTCGGAGCGCAAATTAGTAATTTTTGAAAAAAAATTAAGCCAGTATATAGAAAGATATTTGCTTCTTCTGAGAAAGTTGTTAGTAACAGTTTATAGTTTGGCCTCACCTTTTCTGAAGGGCTCAAAAAAATAATCAATATTGGCTTTAACACTGTTAAATTCGGTCAGCCAGCAGAGCTGATCTGAGTTCGCTCAGCTCAGAACCATCAAAACCTCAAATTAGCCAAATTAGATCAACTAACCACAATAGAACGTTATCGCTTTTACAAATTAACCAAATCTCTTTAATTTACGCCTTATCAAGAGAGAAAATGTGACATGGCAAATCTCATAAGTAGACATTTGGAATTCTTGAAGTTGAAAGCAAGCTGCAGCAAGGCGTTTCACTAAATCAATTAATAAATCCTTAAAATTCAATTAAAACGAATATGCTAATAATAAAATTACGTAATAGAACCGATGCTAACTATGGAATTTCGTTGACGCTAATAGGGTTTTAATAAGCGAAATGTGGACACATCAGTTATTTACAAAATAAAATGCTCTCCCCCAAAGAAATAAATTCAGCGTTGAGAAATAACGTTCACGTTGAACTTTACTTTGCGGACCAAGGTTTTTACTTTTACTATTAGCGGCAGTATTGAATATTATAGCAACAATGGGGTTCATTTGCATGTATTCGTTTTACTGGCCATAACAGCTACCTATCTTTCAATGATTTCCACACATAATTTAATGTTTTTCTAAAATTAATAATGTTTTTTTATTCAAATCATTACTTCCTTAGACAAGCCTTTAACGCATTGCAGTAACAATTAACAATAAACAATTCCTTCCCATGTATTGTTCATTGATTGTCGTATTAATATCATGGTATTTATTATAATTTTAAAGACACACAGGAACCTAATAATTTAACATTTCACTTTCTGTGCTCTCCAAGCTAAGTCTACGGTCTAGATAATGTAACCTGTACCAAGAATTACGACATATCGCAAGCGCATACCTACTAGATTTTTGTTCTTAATATCATACTCTAGTTAGTCTTTAATGTATTCGGTTTCAAATGGTTTATAATAATTAGTTTGTTTGTGTTTTGTTGTCGGACTTTATATTTTGCGAAACATTTTTTTTGGTTTCAAGGTACTATTCACCTCTTATCCCTTTAGGATGGTAATGAAATTTACGATTAACTTCCATTATCCTGAATTCTTATCTTCACGTTGAAAGAAAATATTTAAATTAAGAAGTATTTTTAATTTGAGAAATATACCTATAAATACAGGGTGATATTCAGGAGCTGGTATATGTAACGTTAGGCTCTTACGTTATTATTGATGTAAGGGCATAAGGGCTAATCACAATAAAACCCAGGACCAATAGCACTTTTTCAACCAACTACTCTTCCTCTAGTACAAAAACTACGATGTTTGAGGCATTCAGTGTATTTTAGAGGCCTTGTCTTTTGAATCAAGCTTCATAGCTTATCATTATCAACTTACTGTACAAACGCCATAACTTGCTGGAAAAAAAAAATGTTTTCGTGGGTGTTTTACCATTTTGTTACACTTCCCTGGTTGTCAATCCCAGTCCACGTCGATTCAGGACGAGTTTTTGTTTTTAATTCTACCCTTTCTGTGACGGAACTATCTATTGCCCCTTTTTGGGCTTTAGTCAAACCGCACCAGGGATGCCAAAAGTTTTTACTTTGACTGACTGTAAAAATTAACCATTAGGTGTTGAATCATTTAAGCCTTGTATTGGGTTAGGGGTGCCTTGATTCTCATTTATACAACTAAAACGCCGAAATAGAATAGTTATCAGTTTAATTAATAAATGATGGTAATTTGGTATAGTCAGCAATCAAATCTAAAAATTCCTAATTGGACGTCCAGTCGAACTACAAATTTTATACTAATCTAAAGTAAGTTTTTTAAAGTAAAGTATCTTGATTAATAAAAAGTAGGGAAAAAAAGTTCTTTTATTTATTGAGCACTTTTCTGCGGAAGTCTGTAAACAATATGTGCAAGAAAACTCTTTTTATATGCTCAGTTTCTATATGTAAATGTACAAATGTTAATTTCACGAGTGTGAAAACCAGTTCTGCATTAAACGTTAGAAAACACTTCAATTTATAGTGCATTTCAAGCAATTCACTAATCAATATTTATTGTTCGACTGTTATAGAAATTGTAACGGTCTTACTTGCTTAATCCAGTTCATGCAGATAAATCCACAAGGCGACTATTTATCCATTTATCACCACTATTCACACTGGCAGCTAGGGAATTTTCCACTGAGATGAAAAGAAAACACAATGATATAGAGGTGCGTTGGATCCCGTCGAGAGTGAGAGAGATAGAGCCAAAAACAAGCGTAGGAGAGAATTTTGCTCGTCCGAGGTGACTTGCAACAATTAGGGGTTAATTACATGAATTGTAATCAATAATATAGACCATGTCAGGCCTTGAGACACAGAGAGTAGTATTTCACTATAAATCGCGCGTACTAACAGGGGTTTTGGGGGGGTTTTGCTCCTGAAGAGCATTCAGAAGGCGCGAGGGTGCGAACTCTTCGCTTGTTCTAATAGTAATGAAAAATGTGCGCTGACTAGACTGCCAGGGGAGCAGGTCGCAAAAATCTAGAAAACAATGTGGCGGCTGACCAATCACAGCAGCGAGAAAGGTCCACTGCCTTATAAGGTAATGAAGAAACCTGTAATTTTACCGATTCAAAGGGTTGTTGCCGGTTTTACAGGATAAATAGTCCAGCAATAGCATCTATTTTTAGAATATTATTTTTATGGTAAATAATAGAGATTGAGATATATTAAATTAGAAATAATAAAAATTAAACGTGTTGTGGGTTATTTTCGCAAATCTTTCCTTTTTGTTCTGTTTATTTTCCATAACTTTGTCCCTATTTACTCCTCTTCATTCCAACTTGAACTTGAACCCGATATCCCGATTGTCATTGGAGTACAGACAATAATAACTGGTTGAAAATGTATCTTTATTTTCCTATTACCAAGGAAGAGATATTCTGGTAAACTAGCAAATCTGATTCAACCCAGAACAGCTCTCTTCCGCCTAGTGATGCCACAGTACAAGAAATAATATAAATACTTTCATTACAAGAGTAACGTGCAGATTCCTGCGTAGGAGTTCTATGTTTTCTTATCACATGGTGCTATTAATTACAGCTTACAGATGTGACTATGAATCCATACCGACCATACCGTTCTTTTCGTTTTTCTTTGCTTATGAAATGTTCGAAAAGTTCTCGAGCTTCTTCTTGAATTAACTTCATTTCTTATATGGTTGACTCACGAAATCTTTTTCTCAGCACCCATTTCAAAGCTTCAAGTTTATTAATCATTTCTACTTTGAGCGTGCATGCATCCACAAGATACAGGAGAAGCGACCAGACATAACACTTGACCATTCTGTATATAAGCTTAAAGTTAAGGTTTCGTTAGGGATTTTTTGAGTTTTGAAAAGGTTGCTCTATTTTACTTCTGTTTCCAATTTCTGGGTTCCACTTGTCACAGTCTCGATATTTGAACTTTTCGACGGTTTGGATTCGCTCTCAAGCAAGTTAGAGATAGACGCGAGGAAATTTTTATAGAGACGACCGAGCATATGTTGGCTTACCTCAGAAACAGCAAACAAGTGTTTACATATCATCAACATTGTCGGCTGATGCAGTGTCGTTTTCATGAAGTATATCATTTATAGGAATGTCATATTTGATGCCTATGGGACTATCAGAAACTGCCTCAGCAGAAACTTTCTCCACATACCGGTTAAACTACATAGGGAATAAAATACGCCCCTCTTCTTATTTGAAATTCCTTTGTTGTTATGAGTTGCAAGCGTATTTCAGCTGTTTGGTTCCAATAGGGGGTTTCACACACGTTTTACATGTGTTTTAAAATCTTTCAATTGCAGGAAAACAGAACCTTACTAGTTACTTTTTAATACCTATTCCTGTAGGTGTTGGAAGTTGGTACCTATTTGTTTACCTGCTAATTAGGGTGTCCATTTGTACTTGCTCTACCTGCTCGAAAAATCAGAAAGATTTGCTAGGAGCTGCAATTTAAGTGAACGCCGATCTGCTGCTGAGATCTGCTTGAAGCAAGAAAAGCACTTCAAATAAACACCCCATGTCGATAGCTTCGTGTTGCTGATTCTCAGTATAATTAAATAAATTATCTCTACCTGCATATTAAAAATTTAAATTGATGTCATAGGTGCCTACCTAGGTACATACCTACCAATAAGCAACAAGCTTGAGGAAATTGTTATGAAATTTTTGAGCATTTATCAATTTTCGAAGATTATTCTGATAGAAAATTTTTTGACAGCAATGTCCTAGACGATTGTCATATAGCGTTTTCTGTTGGTA